CTACAAACCAATACTTGAATACTAATGTTTGAATTATTTTTGTAATTTGATTTGCCTACTAATAAGTAGCTTAAGTATCAACTCAAAATATTTCAAAGCATTTCATAGTAAAATTTAGGACAACCGTTAGTGAACAGTACTGTTTCCAATTAGATCTTATGGAATAATTGATTAGGTTCACGAAGAAATATATGAATGAGTGAGGTAGAAAACCAGAAAAAAAGATAACTTGGAAGGAACTATTACTTATTATGTTACAGTTTAATGAGCTTTTCTCAGGTGAATACATTACTCAGTAAATCTTTCTAATGTTATTTTTCAATCAGGGGATATTTTAGACACAAATGAAGGATAAACTACATAGCTTATGAAACATACATGTATATTTATCAATTCATCTGCTTTCTGCAGTGGAGACATTTGTGTTGGGTAGACTAACAGGCAGCCTAGGTAACGTGTTACTGAACTTCTCCCATTGTGGTTTGGGTAAAGGATAGATAAAAAACCATTCGAACCTCTCTTTGGTAGCCAGTCAGTTGATAGTTGATACTCAGCGGACAAAATGAAAGATGCTAATGTGTTTCGTCGCATTTCATCAAATATTTCTAATGGTTTTCGGATTCGTCTACTATGTAGTGCTGAGGCGATTGACTTTCGTACTATGAAAACTAAACTATTCATTTAGAAGAAGTCCGTACACAGCCATTTAGTGCCTAACTCCATTATGGATTTTATTTTATTTTGATAAATCACACAGTGTTATACAGTAATATTTACTGATGACCACGTTTCGAGCACAATATTGCCACTCATAATCATATCAAGCTGCTCACTCTCACAACTTTTTGCTTCATTTACATACATGAGTGGAATTGATTAGACATTTGAATAAAAATCAATATAGGATAATGAACATTCAGAAATAATGATAATATGAGTGTTATTGATCAATAACTAGTTGGAAATCCTTTTCGTGACATTGATCCATATAAAAGAACTGACTGACTTCATATTTGTGTTGGAAATCCGAATCTTTTTCTTCGTGCTGAGCCGGTACAGAATATTTCTAGACTGATTTCAGAGTTTAATTGGTGGACGGTGACTAGCAGTGGAATCCAGGACAACGCGCATTTCGTCCTGTTTGGGACTCGTCCTCCAGCCGGAAGTACGTGCATTCCCCAGTGAGTCAGTGATGATGTTCCCACCGAGGCTCGAGCCCAGTGCCCATAGTTTCGAACGCCAAAGCGTTATCCAGTAGACACCACTTGGGTCACGAGAGCCAGCTCGTGTGCAACGGGTC